GTAGACGATTTTCTCCGATTTTGGAGAAATATATTACAAAATTTTGATTCGGAGAAAATTTCAGTTTAGCGAACACTTTTTGACTTTCTCCGATTTTAGGACTGACCCCCCTCCTGCTCCAACCTCTTCGCGCCGTCCCTGAATAAGATAAAGAAAAATAACAAATTCATTCATTGAGACATATTGGACTCTCTGAGTAACTTCTTTCATTCTGTTATATACATTCTTTCTCAACGAAACGACGACATGATAAAACCATCATCGACTTACGAAGAATATACAATTTCAATGACGGAATTTTATTGCATGTTTGTTACAGAAAGTCATATGTATAAAAAAAAAAGATTTATCCGCATTTTTGTCATAGAATAGAAAATCGATTAATTATATTTAGTTTCTTTTACATGAAGAAAATCTATAATAATCGAATGATAAAATAGAAGACTTGATGATTGATTAAGTTATTCTTTATTATGCTTTCTAACTTTGACATGTTTCTTTAAATGAATAGTTTTTTTTTTATTCCAGTTGTACCAGTTTTATGCAGTGTAAAATATAGTTTATAAACAAGCAGCACTAACTGAGTTTCATTTAAATGGTATAAAAAGATTCACTTTCTCTTCTCTTTCCTATTCATAATTTTCTGTTGACGATCTTATAGGAAATGTTGAGTCTATCCGAGATTCAAAATGTTTCTTCGTCTATGTTTGCAAGTATTTCGATTGATTATATTGTCTTGATTTTATTCGCTAGAGAATATCAATGAGATCACAGTTGACCTATATTTCATCAAGGATGTTATTGCAAATATTGATTTTTGTGAATGTTGATATGTCAAACATTTTTGCTTTCGTTTACATTATATTTATTGTCGTTCGTATTATTACTAATATATTGATGTGTTTTTTTTTCTAAGTTGATTTCATTCTCGTTATCTATTATTTATTCAATATTATCCTTGCAAAACAAATATTTAGCGATTACAATCATCATGTTCTTAGGGTTGTTATTGTTGTTGATTCTCTAAATCAATTAAGGATGACACTATAGTTTCGTTTTTGACCTAACTCATACACCTTTCGTGAAGCGTCAATTCTTGTCTTGAATATTTCTAATGAAGTTGTCGTCTATCTTGCTAATCTAATTTACTCGTATTATTTTTCTAGTGCTAATCGTATTTTTATATTGTTTTAAGTTATCCTCTCTTTCTTTTACTTGACCAAACATGGATTTAAGCTGAGATACACGTCTCCAGTAATTGGGTTCAGATGTTCCTACTTTTACACACAAATTAGAGTCCAAGGTTATCTATAAACAGTCTGTCGAGACCAATCTTATATGCATATGAGGGAAAATTATATGTGTCGCAAGAAAATGGCAGAATGAATTCTTTTTATGAGAAATAGGGATGAATAAGAATATTATACATTTTTACTGATCTTAACATCGGCAAAAATTGATCGTATAATACAGGATTATTATCTTAAAGTAACTTCTTTTTTGTTGTTTGTTTTAGTCAACTGATTTTGATCAAAATGAAACATATGAACATACACGTGATATTATTCCACTACAATGTCATGCTCATTTATCACATCGTCATTCTTCTCGTTTACCAAATGTATATGAACAGCCATATTATGATGGTCAGTAAAATGTCATTCCAATATTCATTAATTTTTACCTTTTAGGAACGTCTTTTGTTATTATGCCCATCACCTTACTTTTATTTACTTTATTCGCAACTTTAATGGTGTGATTTATAATTGGCAAGTTCGTCTGAATTAAAAACGTTCGTCTCTCAAAAACAGTTTTTCCATTTTATGTTTCTTGTTTTTTTTCTGATAACGCTAGAGCGTTTTCTTATATCATTAACAACACATTCTCTCTTATTTCTAAACATATTGTCTTCAGTGCAGCGAAATTTTCTGTTGTGAATCATCGTACTTATCATTCTTTGTTTATTCGTGATAACTATTTACGTTTATTCTTTTTCGATGTATAATTTCTTTTTTGCTGTGTCATAACATCTATCTGCAATCTTTGTCACCATGTTAAGATATAGTTTTTTCACTCTTGATATTCAGTATTATCTTCCATACACTTGATTGTTTTATCCAAGGGGGAAAAAGCTGATTGCCATCAAGGCAATCATTGGCAATCAGCATCAATAGCTTATCAAAAGCATGATTGTCACCCTGTGTAGTAATAAAAGCCAAAATTATTATCAGGAACAGCTAATATTCAATATCTGATAGTTAAAAAAACCGTGAGCAATCATTGACAATCATTAGCAATCATTGGCAATCATTGACAATCAGAAAATCAACTTTTTACCCTCACGGTTAAAACATGATTGCTTTTGTATTTCGTGATGAAAATCAGAAGTATTATCAGAAACAATAAACATTCATTCTCTGAAAGTGAAAAAGCCTAGAGCAATCATGGGCAATCAATGCAATCAGCTTTTTCCCCCTTGGCAATAGATGTGTTCTCAAAGACACGCCTTTTTTTTTATTACTTAATTCCAAAATCATGACATATAAGAATGAATTGCACAGCAGTAGAAGAAATTTGCTTTTTTTTTCATTATTTTAAGGTGAACCTGAAATAGCCATAAGACATATATATATATATATAAATATGAAATTAAAGATTGTAGAACAGAAATAATAAAAAAAAACGAATTAACTGTCATGCAGTGTTACACTCGTCATTTGATTTCAAAAATCGCTCGTACTGTGGCCATCAGACAACATAAATATCGTAAGAATGTACGACCAAGCAAAGTAATTCAACAACAAATTGATGCTGATTGTAGTTGCACAACAGAAGCAATCATTCAAGCACATCGTGAACCTGATATTCCATTCGATTTATTGCAAAAGCGTACTATTGAAGAAATGCGCAAAAAAGATTCTCAACAAAAGTCAGGTCAATATGTGATAAAAACATCTTGAAATTAACTATGTGCTATAGATTCTCTGCTTCATGACTCAATATCTCTTTTTCTCATTTTATAATAAAACAAAAATGTAAAAGATTGTTTCTTTGCATTCTTAATCGATTCATCCACTTTTTTTTGTGTCTTCTTTTGTTCAAGATATTATGTTGCATGGTAGTTTTCTCTTTGTCAAAATTAAAATAATCTTTTTTTTTAAATTTTATTTCATCATATTTACTGTTTCACGAACATCTTCATATAAAAAATATTGTTCGAATGAATTCTCAAACATGAACGATAGAAAAAAACATGAATGTTCTTTTATACCTAAGGAAAAAAATTTTCACATACCTTTCCTTATAAGAATAGCTGATTACATTTTGCTCTCTCTCTGCACATATATATCTGGCTGTCAGCATTTGTTTTTCGATATACATTCTTCTACAATGTGCACTTATACACGCCCTTGACACACCGAATGAAAATAAAACATGAAATAACAGACAACTAATTACGATTAGATCGAAGAGAAGCAAGTCGAATCTAGTCAAACCAAACAACTAGAAAGCGAAAACATCTCTAAAATTTCATCCGATTAAATCAATATAAAACATACAAAATGTCTCTCAGTTTTTGCACAGTATATACTTTCAGCTTCAAAAATCAATTATATTTTGATCGTGATGAGAATACTCTCAGTTGACATTTTTCTAATGATCAAGGATTTGTAAAAAGCAAAAATTTCGTGTAGTCTTTGTGTGAATAGATTTCAGTTGTAGAGATCTCGAAAATCGTCAACTTTCTGTTGATTACCAACAGTTAATATTTAAATATCTAGAAATCTTAGTACCTTTTACTGACACGTCTTTGATACTTTGATCAGAAGTGGACAAAATGTAAAGATGGGTTCATTGAAAACATATGTATACATACCCTTAGCTATAGTTTTATTATTTTCATTTGAACATTTATTAGAGTAGATTTTTTTCCGATGATGAACAGCAACTGTGTACATATGGTGTGAAAAATAATTGATATGTTCACTTGAATAGACAATCACTATTGATTAAGATAAAATTAGGACATGAAATTTTAAGACATTTCACTGTTATGTTTTCTTTGAGAAGAAAGAAGACAAAAAAAATTGCTAACATGATATTAAGAGTCAAGTTTGAGATCTTAAAAGTTTATCAAGACATTTTACATATTTCAGTAATTTTTTTCATAATGTCAAATATATCATTAAATGTTAAATTGAACGAATTATATTGTAATTGATAAATTTTTGACAATGCCTTAGTCATAATAATCATAGATGAATTCTGTCATAATTTTCCACCTTTATTTAAGTGCACTATTACAAAGACTATCAAATTGAATTCAACTGCATACTTTTTACTTTCAAATAACTCATCATTATGGGTTTTTTTTTCAATACTATTTATATTTCAACTTATGCTGTATTTATAATTAAGAAGATAATGAAGCCAGACTTCTTTACAAGACTGGATTTTTTAAATAGTAGAATTTGAACATAATTGAGCAAAGAACAAGCAGCAAATAACAGGAAATCATAAATTGGATTAGACTTACAATCTGATTTTCCTATGTAATGAAAGTCTACTTACAAAAAATATATAGACATTTTTGATTCATAGATCCAAAAATTATCATGTTGAGCTCGCTTCAGGTCTTTATTTTTACATTTAAGAATAAGATACCTGATGGAAATTTTATAGAGAACATTCAAGAGATGTCTACTAGGAAAAAGATGACTGTTCGTTTTTTTGATTTTTCCAAAAAACTAAAATTCAACAATGAATTCATTTATTTAACAAGTTTTTTAATTAAGAAAAAATTCAAATAGTCTTTCAAAAGACGTAATTCTAAAAATTGCATAAAAGAAATAAACAATACTACTTTTAACAGAAACTTAAAAAAACTTCTATATATCAGCGGACAATAGCATATGAATTTCAGAATTTTCGATGTCTTCAGCTGTGATGCAATGCCGTGTTCTTAATGATGCTAGTATAGTACATAGGTCTACCTGGACTTAGAGTGATAATAGAACGTTAAAAGAATCTTAGTGTACCATTTGTAAGTGATTGTTTTCCATACTTTTTTATTCTTTTTTCACTTGCTTAATTGAATGATACGTGACAACTCTGATCTTTCAACTACCACAAAAAATAAAAAATAAAAATTGAAAATTTAACTGATAAATCACTGATCTGTACCAATACTAAATATATACCTGAACACAATTTTTTTTTCTACTATCAAAAAAACATGACTTGCTACAACATAATTGTGTGAAAACACAACTGTTTTTTTTTTGTCAAAAATATTCATCGGTAAATGTTTTGCAATCAAGGTTGTAAATTTTACGATGCTAAAAATAAGGCGCAGAGTATTGATTAGCACAATTTTTCAGACCTGACATTGACAATATTTTCAACGATGAAATACATATAAATACATTTTAATTATTATTATACTTCTATTTATGTACATGTACGCACATTTTTTTTCTCTGTTGAGCATACATGATTGAGTGTTCTTTTTTGTAGGACTTTGTTTCTCCACCCAAAATTTGAAGGATAAATTGGTGCAAATGATCACATTATTGTGTAGAACTCATGATTTACCTTGTATAATGTATTTTTTTTTATAACACAGAAAAGAAACAAAATAATGTAAGTTACATTGCAAAGTGTTGAAAAAACTACGCATTTTTCTTCACTGAGTCATCAGTCAGCGTCATGTAATTAAAATTCGAACTCGTTTTGAACCTATGTCACGCATACACATAATTGTCACGAGTAGAGCTAGATGTACTATTAACTATTTATTCATCAATATACCGCCCATCATTATTCATATAAATACTGCATTAAAAAGCAGAAATTAGCAAAGCATATTGTATAATAAAAATAAAGATATACTTGTTGACATATATATAACCAAAATGGCAATTTGCAAGGGAGATATAATTGTCAAGCTTAAGCGTTGGTGGCGCATGTTGGTCATTGTGCTTATTCCACTCATACTTCTTCCATTGCCTCTTATAGTCAGAACTATTGTAAGAATTGAACATGTACTGTCTAGTAGACAATTGTAGGTTTTGTTGTTGTGGTTTTTTTTATAGCAAGCAAGATGTGCCTATATTGTGCTGGTTCTCACTATTTATTGGGTGACCGAAGCAATGCCATATGCAGTAACTTCATTGTTTCCACTTGCATTCTTTCCTATGGCCGGTATTTTACCCGGAGACATTGTTTGTCTGAGCTATTTCAAAGTGAACGGATCATCTTTGCATTTTTCATTTTAACACAATATGTTATTTATCTGTGTTTTTTTTAAGGATATTACAACATTGTTCATTGGCAGTATGATATTAGCTTATGCAATGGAGCATGTTCATCTTCATCGACGATTAGCCTTACTTGTACTTAGCATTGTTGGTTCATCGACCAAATGGTAAGTGATCTATTGTTTTTAATACATAAACACAAGCTGTGTCTTATTGAAAAGGAGTATGGCCGGACTAATGGGTGTCACTGCTTTCTTAAGTATGTGGATCAATAATTCAGCAGCTACCAGCATCATGATACCGACAGCAATAGCCATTATTGATGAAGTTGAAAATTATCAAAAACAAACACAACAGCATATACCAGAATCTGAGCGACAACCGAAAGAAACTGTGCCAATAGTTACAGCAGGTACTAAACAATTTACATTTCAAACATCATTCAAATAATTGTTCTATTTCATCTTTAGTCGTTCTTGATTTGAAGTCAATAATCGTCGAAGGCGAGAGAGAACAGTCATCTTTACAGAATAACATTGATATAAATTGCAACGAGTCGGCGATTGAGTAAGTCTATTCGATATCAAAAACTAATTGTTCTTACTCTTATTTGAAAGAAAGCAGATGGAGAGAAAGTCTAATCAATGCTCTTTGAAGAAAAGATGTGTTATTAAGAGTAAGTTCAGTTTAAGTGCTCAGATTAAATGTTACTGTTAGTGCATAACAATTTGACTCCCAAGAGAACCTTTTCGGATGTAAAATCGCGTGACAAGCAGTATGAATATGAATAAAGAGAATAAACCCACATTCACATCCTGATTTTTTTCAAACAGCTAATATGTTTCGAAATAGCCATTGTTCAATTTCTCTGTTGTAAAAACTTCACATCACCAAAATATAATATTGACAAGTTATGGATTTTTTTTCTAATAAACTTTGTAATTCAAGCTTTCATATGAGAGATGGGTAACGTTGACTGTGTGACACCGTGATGAGAACTAGATAATTTCATTCATTCTCTGATAGCAGTCGAAATGATCTAGAGTGGGTAGATCCCATTAACTACAATTGGTATGTTATCATGAATTTGTAAATCTAGGCTATCTAACAACCAATTAACAGTCTGTTCAGATGGGGCAAGTAATCGCTTAGCCACAACTCAGATTGACTATCGACAACTCAAAAGTGGTATGATATAAACTATAAATCTAAAGAATTGAATTGATGGAGATTATATATTTCTTCGTCTTTTTTGAAGGCTTCCTTATTGCTGTGGCTTATAGTTCTGCTTTGGGTGGTCTGATAACACTTGTTGGGACTGGTACAAATATTTTTACCAAAGGATTTGTTGATCAGTGAGTAACTTCATGAAGTAGAAAGTGTCTTCGTTAATAGTGTATTTTAATTGAACTAGAATCTACACAACTGGCAGTCACAATTTCAAAATTTCATTTGCCAACTTTTTATTGTTCGGCTTACCTATTGGTGTTATCATGCTTATACTTTGCTGGTTATGGCTACAAGTTTTGTATAATCGTAAAGAGTAAGTTTGCGATCATAGTCATTATTATTGTGCTCATCTTCGTACGAACAATTGTAGACTCTTTCAGTGGAAGACCAATTCAGCTATGAAAGACTCACAGAAACATTTAAAACTTATTCTCAAAAAGCAATACAACGAATTAGGTCCATACAATTGGCGCCAGCGAACTGTTACTATTCTTTTCATTGTTATGGTTGCTCTCTGGGTGACACGCGACTTTTCTACTAGTCCTGGATGGGAAATCATATTTCGGAGGCAGTAAGTTCGAACTTTTGTTGAAAAAAAAACGATTGATTTCGTTGTTTAAGTTATGTTACTGATGGAACAACTGCTATTCTCATTGGTTCATTGCCAATGATTTTACCTGATCAAAATCCATTTCAAGGTATTTCGAAAATCATTTTGAAACAGAAAAATAATCTGTTTCATTAGAAAATTGGAAATATCACCCGATTCTTGAATGGAAGGAACTTTCGAAATCATTTCCATGGGGTGTATTCATGTTGCAAGGTGCTGGATTGGCTATTGCTGATGGATTCAAAGTCTTTTTTTTTGCATGATTAAATACTTCCACTACACGTATTTGTAATTGTAGGTATCGAATCTATCGACAATTATTGCTAATCTTCTTCACTTTATTGTTGGAGCATCTAAAACACTTATCATTTTTATTGTCATTCTTGTCAGTGCTATTTTCACCGAATTTACAAGCAATGTGGCATGTGTTGGCATCTTATTTCCTGTTCTTGATAGCATTGTAAAGAATCTTGCTTTCTCTGTATCCATCAATTGATTTTTATTCTATCTTTTTATTTCATGTAGTCTTATGCAGCTCACATTCATCCAGCTTATCTTATTCTATCATCATGCATGGCTGCTTCACTCTCATTTATGTTACCTATTGGTAAGTTTTTTATTTTCGTTTTCATTCCGGTCAGTAAGAAATCATTGCTTCTAGCTACTCCACCGAATGCCATGATATTCGCTACTGGTCATGTGAGAATTATGGATTTGATCAAGGCAGGTATTGGTATCAAAATTATCGGTATCCTTGTCATTCTATTTGCTTCGACTACTTTCCTGGGACCTATCTTTCATGTTACTCAAATGGTACTGGTTCAACATGTCACCATGATGACCAACAATACGATGGGATGATGAAGATAAAAAAGAAACTATAGATATTTTTTAAACTCTGCTTTGTTAAATGTTTGATAATTATTTTTAAAATTTTTTCGACTACTTGTAGTAACTGTGTTAAAAATAAAAATAAAAATAATTGTTGTTGGGTCTATTTATATTATAGTTTGTAAAAGCAACACTTGTCATACGCAATGGTGAATTGATAGTCTATAAAGATTACGTTTGAAACTTGTCCTCAAAATGATAATCACTCACAACTTAATCTATGTATTTGGATGCAAGTACTAGGTTGGAAATAATATTTTGCCAGAGGGGGGGGGCGGGGTACCACTGTGATTTCAAATAGGGAAGATAGTGAGTTTTATGCCACATGAAAGCCCGTCAAAAATGGGGTTTATTGATACTAAACAATAAGGTTTATGAAAACTTTCGTATGTTGAAGCTCTGGAAGTTTAAAGAATTTTGCATGATGCAATCGATATAATTCATTTTTAGCGGGTTGTAAGACAAAGAAGAAAAAAAATTTTCTTTGAAGAAACAAAAGAGAGCATTGTTATAGTGATCATAAGACCTATCTATGATTCATAAAGTACTATTTCCTTTTGTGTTCTTTTGTCTTATCCTCGTGGTGGTGGTGATGAATAAGAAAGATTTTTCTTTTTCTTTTGTTAGAAAGTTATATTACGTAGAATAGGAAAATTCGAGAAGTTTATGAAATATTATATGAAGTCATTTTCTGACCACTATCTTGCATAAAAAATCTATCCATTCGGTGAATCAATTAAATCTAACTATTTTAAAATGGCTGGCACTTATGATACTGAAGAGCAGAGAATTATTGACAGAATTACATGTATCGCCTTTCGTGAAGCTCGAGATGCTGGTGCAACTTTTATTAATCGACAATGGATCGCGGAGAAAATTCATCGCTCCGTTCGATTTGTTACAGACTGGCGGAAAAAGCAATATGATCAATGTTTTGCCAATTATTCCAATGCTGGTCCTAAACTTAAATTATGACAAGCAAGCAAGACATCATCCTTAAAGCGAGTGATCAACAAAGAAAAAGTTGTTCTGGTGTGGCAAAGGAAATGGCAGAAAAGCAAAAGGAGTACGTTGTTCTAAGAACCATCAATAACTATCGTCATCGAGAAGGTCTAAAGTCGTTTCATGTTATTCCAAAACCTTTAAAAATGGAAACTAATATATCGGATCGATTATGGATGTGCAATTGGTTAAAATATTGGACAAAAGATTTTCTCCATCTCGCACCATCTGATGAATTTTTTTTCTGGGTTGTGCGTCGACCAAATTATCAGAATGACCGAATTTGGGCAAAAAGTATCGATGATATTGAAGAAGATCAACGTTATCGTGAAATGGTTAAAAATCAAGCATTCATTAGGATTTTCGTTATATTTACTGCTAAAAAGTTACATTGGGTGTGGGTGTGGGTGTGGGT